AACCCTTCTTGATTTCTTATGACACTCAGGAAGAATTGACTGTTGTTTGTGTGTTGTGCACCCACTGCCCGGCATTGAGTCCTTCTGCGATAAGGCTTGTGTGTATGTGCACATCTGTGTGTCCACGCACATATATCCTTTCTCACAAGTTGACCGGCTGTCTCACATCATGCTCTTCTGGGGCTACGTATGTCAGCCCAGTTACTGTTGACTGAATGATTATGTGCACTCCCTTTATTGTGCAGATTTATTACTACCCAGGAGAAAAGAGCGTTTAAGTCATCAATTTCCAGCATAAATTCAAAATAAAAATAAAACTTTGAAATAAAATGTATGCAACATAGTGTGGACAGGGTTTTGTTTTCATTCCTTTTAGATATGGATATATTCAACCAAATATTATGGAATAATTTTCAATAGTCAGATAAATAAGAATGGTGAATGATTCATGTTTGGTTCAGATGAAGCTGTTTATGATAATGTTCCCATATTTTCTTTCATTGTTAGAGCAGGATGCCACAATATGTACGATAATTCATGTCTGTGGCTGAGTTGGAGTAAATCTACAGTCTATTGCTATTGAGAGTAATAAAAATAAATAAACTTATGAGTGATCCTGACATTTTCACTTATGTGATCTCATACACATTTCATAAAGTAAAATAATTTTTTTAACTGTACAAAAAAAAAACCAGGAAGTCACAGTTTTGGACCCATGTGTAAAAACATACTGGAAACAATGAAGAGACATTTTTTGCCATACAGATATGAAATAAGGGAGTGATAAATAATTACAAATATTTTGAATTTTGCTAAGCAAACATAATAAAGCGTTGAAAATTTTATGCAGCAACCTCCTGGCAAAAGAAAACTGGGTGAGTGGATGGTGTTTTGTGTGCAACTCCTCAAGTTTCTCTGTTAACTTAGGTGATAACTACTGTCGCCAGCAGCTACCAGAGACCCAGACAGTAGAGCACAGCAGGGGATCCAGCTGCACGGGTGGCTCCAGGAGGCACGGCCTCAATGACACAACCACAGTGTGCAAGTTTAAGAGTTTTGATCACTCACAGGTCCTCAAGTCAGGCAGAGCAACAAGAGCAAGGCACACAGCTGTCCCCGCTCCAGGTCTCATTTAGCAACCGCAACCACAGGCATGTAGGAGCGAGTTTACCCTGTTTAATGGTCATCTGGGTGGGTGTCCTGTTGTGCCGAGTAACTTTCTATTGTGTATTGCAAACAACTCTAATGATAAGGGCAGTTCAGCAATTTGGGGCAAAGCTGGAGTTAAAACAGGGCTTTGCAGAGGGATGTCTTACCTGTGTTGATCAGCCTTGGCCAGGCCTAGGCAGCAGGGAAATCTGAGTTCACCATCACTCCTGACACACTTGGTGAACAATGAATTGAATGCTTGTTATCAAGTAGCATATGAGTTTTCCTCCCTGAGTTAAACAGTGGCATTTAAATATATCATTTAATATATATTCTAATAGAATATTCAAAAATGATATTAGAATATCAATTCTATGAAGGCAATCTACTATTTAACATGGATTTAACGTGCAACTATCATATCAGAATCTTTTGCAATATTTGGAATTACTCTATCCTCATTTTAAGGTGAAATGTATATTATGCATAAAATATATCATACATATCACAATAACAGATTTTAAAGAGTAAAAAGAAGTTTAGAGAATACTAGAGACAAGCAGATGAAATGGGATCTTATAGCCAGGAATTTTGTCCTCCACCTGAGCAGAATTCAGACATTGGAGGATTTTCATGATGTTATCTATGTCTTCAGAGCATCATTTTTGTTGCTGAGTTGAAAAGAGATTCTGGGAGGAGTAAGTTTGGAAACAAAAATGCCACTAAGTGTTATAGAAATGATTTCTGTAATTTGTGTATAAAATGTTAGTAGCTTGCACCTAAATGATAGTAGGGAAGATGCTAAGAGGTGGTCAAATCAAGGACATATTTCAAAGATAGAGCTACCTGACACTGTCTCCTGATAGGTGAGACGTGTCATGCTAGAGAAAGAGAGGTATCGATAATGAGTAAGATAAATTTCACCTGAGAAAATGAATAGATGAAGAAATGGAGAAAGGGAGGCAGTTATGAGGAAGGATCCGGTGCTGTTTTGAAACATTAAGGGCAGATGTGTATTAAATGTTTTGAGGAAGATATTGAGCAGCGCATCACTGATACAATTCTAGGAGTTTGAGGAAGGAATATGATCTAGAGATACAGGTTGGGCATCATCAGCACATACATGTGATTTAAAGTCAAGAAAATGAGAAAACCAAGGGAGGAGATATTGAGAGAGAAGCAAAGAGAACCAAACTAAACATTTGGTTACTCTAAAATTAAACATTAAAAAAAGAGGGAAACCAACAACAGAAACTTAATAAGGAAACCAAGAGTGTGATGTCTTCAAGGGTGTATTAGTCTGTTCTCACACTGCTAAGAAGAACTCCCTGAGACTGCACAATTTATAAAGAAAAGAAATTTAATTGATTCACAGTTCCACATAGCTGGGGAGGTCTTGGGAAACTTAAAATCATGGCAGAAGAGGAAGCAGTCACTTTCTTCACAAGGCAGCAGGAAAAAAAAAAAAAAAAAAAGAAGCAGGAACTTCCAAACACTTATAAAACCATCTGTTCTCAAGAGAACTCCCTCACTCGCACAAGAACAGCATGAGGGAAATCATTCCCATGAGCCAATCTATTTCTATTGTGTATTGCAATAGTAAAATTGCATAGTTCAATGAAATCTGTCGTATATACCAAAAATAAATAGGTAAATAAACAAACATGCATGTCTGCATTACAATAATGTGGTAGTGTGCTTCCAAATGAATGCACCACAATAATTCACAGTAGTGAAAATTAGATCCTATTTAACCCACTTGCTCTTCTAATTAGCTTTCCTGTGTAATAACCCCAAATTGTGTTGCATAAAGTACTAATTTGATATCCTCAGGTATTGCAGGGCTTGGGAACTCAGGAAGTCCACAGTGGATGACACTTCTGTCTCATGATATCTCAGATGTCCATGACTGAGAAATGAAATACTTGGATCAGGAACTGACTCTCAAGGTGGCTTCTGCACTCACAGGTATGACAGCCACTGGGATGATCTGAAGGCTGATGCACTGAAGTTTTTATCCCAGCATATCCACGTGCAGTCTCTCAGCATGTTTGGGCTTGTGACAGCATAAGAGCATATTGAAAGGGGACCTCAGGGAAGGAAGCTTTTTAAAATTATTAAGCAGAGGCTCGGATGACTTTTTCTGACCTAATCCCGGGAGTCATGGCGTTGATTCCATCATACTCTATTTGTCTCAGGAGACCGAAGCCCACCCAGTTTCAAGGGAAAGTGACATAATCCCACCTTTTACTGGATGCAGTGACAAAGTCATATTGTAAATGTAGAAATTATGGTACTACTGATACCACTTTTGGAAAATATATTTTACAATGCTTGAATACTTTACAATATTGCTTCTGTATCTGAGTCTGCATAGTCACATGTGTATAGGGCACACTCAAATACTACATATAAAATCAAGTGTATGCAAATAAAACATATATGCTGAAATCTGCCTCTACGCTGCTACCTGGAACTCAGCTTATACTTCAAATATTTTTATAAATTATTAAAAAGGAAAATCTGTATTCGTTATATCACAAAAGTAATTCTTTTAGCATATGAATAAAAAATTTACATCAAAATTATAGTATTGAAGTTTAAATTCACATTCAATTATTTTTTCCATACATTAAGTGGTGAAATAGCTTAAAATGAAATGTAAACGAGTTAACAGACTTGTGCCATCATGCTAGGATAATACTTTTCTATTTTTATTTTATTTTATAAGATTCAGGTAGTACCAGCACAGTTTTGTTACAAGTATATATTTCACAGTGTTGAAGTCTTGGCTTTTGGTGTACCCATCACCCGAATAGTGAACATTGTACTCAATAGGTAATTTTTCAATTCTTACCCTCCCTTCCCATCCTCCCCCATTTTGGAGTCCCCAGTATCCATTGTTCTTCTCTATATGTTCCTGTGTAACCATTGTTTAACTCAAACTTACATGTGAGAACATGCGATCTTTCATTTTCCACTTCTCAGTTATTTCACTTGGAATAATGGCCTCAGCTCCATCCACCTTCCTTAAGAAGATATGATTTTATTCTTTTTATGGTTGTGTAGTATTCCATCATACACACACACACACACACACACACACACACACACATATATAATTGCACTTTCTTTATTCAGTCAACCATGGATGGACATAGGTTGATTCTGTGACTTTACTACTGTGAATAGTTCTGTGATAAGCATACAAATGCAGGTGTCTTTTTGATATAACCATTTGTTTTCCTTTGGCTGTGAATGCTGGATCAAATGGTAGTCCTCCTTTTAGTTCTTTGAGGGCTTTTTATAGGGGTTGTACTAATTTAAATTCCTACTGAAGAGTGTGTAAGCATTTCCTTTTCTCTGTATCATTGCCAATATCTGTTGAATTTTTTCAAAAATTTGTTTCAAAAGTTTTTTGAATTTTTAATAATAGCATTCTGACTTCTGTAAGGCAGTGTTTCATTGTAGTTTTAAATCATATTTCTCTGATGACTAATGATATTAAGAATTTTTTCACTTTTGTTGGCTGCTTGTATGGCTGTGAATAAGAAATGTCTGCTCTTGTCCTTTGCTTGCTCTTTAACGAAGGTATCTGTTTTTTTATTTTGTTGAGTTTTTTTTAGTTTCTCATAGTCAGGTTTTTTTTTTTGTTTGTTTTTGTTTTTTTTTTTTTTTTCGGGTACAGTTTGCAAATATTTTCTCCCATCCATTTTGCAAGTTGTCTTTTTACTCTGTTGATTACAGTGCAAAAAGTTTTCAGTTGAATTAAGTATCATTTGTCTATTTTTGTTTTGTTGCCTTTGCTTTAAGGTCTTAGTCATAAACTATTTGCCTAGGCCAATGTCCAGAAAAGTAAAACACTGGAGGCATCATATTGCCTGACTTCCAATTATACTACAGAGCCATAGTAACTAAAACAGCATGGTACTGGTATTAAAAATAGACACATAGATCAAAGGAATAGAATAAAGAATCCAGAAATAAAACTACATATCTACAACCAACTGATTTTCGACAAAGTTGATTAAAAAAAATACACTGGGGAAAAGACATTCTTTCAATAAATGGTACTGGAAAAATTGGAATGCCATATTTTTAAGAATGAAATTAGATAAATATCTCATATCATAGGCATAAATTAACTCATGATGGATTACAGACTTAAATGGAAGACCTAAAATTACAGAATAAGATGGTTTTCTTTAAAACTTTTAAGATGAAATTTAGGCAAATATAAAAAAGTTTTGTAATACTGTCTTCTGTATGCACTGTGAGTTGATGTTATATTAGAAAAGTAATCTATTCAAATGAAAATATTAAGAACAGCCTACTACAAAATGCATTTTTGACACTCTGTCTCTAATCATAAAGATTTCTTTGGTGATCACAGGGAAGCTCCACTAAAGGTAATTTGTTTTCTTAGCCTGTATTTTTTTCAGTTTACTACCTAGTATTTTTTACATAAAAAATAGTATGTACATGAAATGTATGGAAACTTAGACTCCAATCCTGCTGTCAAGTTTGCTTTTACTAAATAAAAATCCCTTTCTTTTTAGCAAAATTTCCATTTATAACTTACAGATTGAGTGAATATTTGTATTTAATTATATGGATTTCTAAACATATAACTGTTTGATAAAATATATAACTAAAATAGACCTATTGAGACTAAAATAACTGTTTTTAGATTATTATTAACATCTAAGTTTATGCTTTATCCATTATTCAGATAGATGAAATTGTTCAGCAATGATTATCAACTGCTGTTGGATAATTACAAGTAGAAAAAATAAAGGTCATTTCAACAAGGCTAATGATAAACTTGGCGAGAAATATTTTAATGGAATTTCCAGAGAATAAAAAACAGTAGGTTAAAAGATTAATGAGACAGAGAAAAGAAAGACAGTGAGCGTAATCAATATCTTCATTTTTCAGTTGAGAAAAGATTTAACTGCAGTTTGAAGCAAGCATGGAGCCAGTAGAAGGTATTGATTTTTCATTTTCTTATTTTTAAGATGACAAATACTAGAGCATTTTAAATTTCTGGAAAAACCCAGTGGGGAAAGAAGCTAATAATACCAGACTCCTTACAGAAAGAAAAGGGATCACGGTCTCTAAGTAATGAAGAATAAGTTTATGAGAAAGGATTTGCTTAGAGACAAAGAAAAGGGCACCTCTTTTGTTCTGAGGTAAAATTTTATTAAATGCTAAATAGGATATTAAACTTACATTGCCAAAAATATGAATCCTAAAGTTTTGACATAATAAAAGGAGTTATAGAGAGATCTAGAAAAAAAAGTGCTTTACTGAAGGACTTGTAGTAGGATACAAAGGAGTATAAGTTTCATAAAAAGAAAGGAAGGAAAAAAACTTTTTATCTCCAGCTCTTCCAAAAGATGCCTAAGGAACTGCTTGTCTTTAAGGAGGACCTCCTCCAAAGCAAACCAGGAGGCATTCATGCAGAAACATCTGTCAGATACCCTCTTCCTTCTCTTCCCAAAAGATGTAGAAAGGTCATTTTGATATCTTCAAAGAATTTAAATTCCTTAATTTTAATAATATATTCTTATCTTTTTTATGATACCTTACATTTTTGATAGGAAGCAGATGAATCTTCTGAACATGGTAATATTTTCAAGTACCTTTTTGTCAAGGCATATATAAAGAAGTGACACTAAATTTTTTACTTTATATAATTTATTTTATAAGTACAAAATATATAGTCTGTGTATATAGCCATCTAGGAATCTAGGAATAAAAGCAAAATAAATTATACATATAACATTTCACTTATTTTCTATTGCTCTGACAACTAAAGGCAATGAAGGAGTTAAAATCTGAAAGAAAGGTTGTGGATAGTAAAGAAATACAGTAATATAGTGACTTTTCCATGTAGCTTCTACTTCATGTGAGTGTTCCTGCAGTGGTATAGCCATTTATTCCCCAAATAGATTTCCTTCATCTTAAGCATATCATGGTAAATATGAGGCTCAAGAATATCTTTCTGTCTTTGCTATGAGTATAATTATCATGTTACAGGAAGAAAACTTCCAGCTTCGTCATAAAAGCAAAAATGAGAAAAAACACTGAAGTCTTACAAGGCTCTACTACGGAAATATTCTTCAATTTCATCACCTATATTGTGCCATAAGAAATAGCTCCCATTCCCACCAAATATCATTTGGATACTCATATATGGAAAACTACCATTTATCTAGGGAGGTGTTATCGTTGTTTTTGTGGCATAAATTTAATAACTTGAGTAATTTTCCCTGATTGACTTTATCATTATCAAATTTTGTTTCTTAATATTATTCTGAGTTTTAATGATGGGAGTCTGATGAAGACCTAGGTCCTAATCAATACTACACTTTATAACCATAAGAACTTTGTGAAAATATCACTTTGGTTATCAGCATTTACCTATCAATAGCTGACTCCCTCGAGTCCCCTATGTTCAATATACATGGAATAAAACAAAATGCACAAAACTATATGACAAGGAAGGAGCTTAGGTGAAAGGGTGAGGTAGTATCAGAATCTCAAGATTCCCAGAAGATACACATGGTCTAGCAGAGGCAACATAGAAAAACATGAGAAGGAGGCTAGTGGTTGTTATTTAAGATGTAAGGACTAATGCCTGGGGGTGGGCGTGAAGGTGGCCAATCAGATGACTGGAGCAAAATAGACAGTGCCTACCTGCCGTTAGAAAAGGTAAGGTCTTCTACCTCATCATTAGAAAAGCTTGTGACAATCAGTGAATCAGTCAACCCCTAAGGTCTTGCTACATTTGTAGAGTGCCAGGAGTTGATTAAATGTTTTAGAAATTCCTATATAAATGTAAAATTACATAGTACAGGATAGATAAGTATATGGACAGTGAACACTAGAGACAGAAATTCTGCCTTGCATGTTTCTTCCTAAATATCACTTGAATCTAGTATCCTTTATATGGCTGTGTGTGTGTATATGTGTGTATGTGTGTGGGTGTGTGTATTATATACATGTATATAATATGGAATATAATATGCATATAGTATACACACACAACAGATACACACTTTATACACATGCATTCATATATGGGTGTGTGTATATGTGTGTGTGTTTATATATATATATATATATATATATATAT